CCCTTGTTTTACTTGCAGGTGTCCTTCTTTGGGAATTTTCCTGCCAACAACAACCTTTCTGCAACTGTAGCAGGTAAGAAAACCTTGATTTTCATTAACCTGTAAAAGAAATAGCATTCTTGGTCCACCAAAGAAAATGCTTGTAGAACGATTACCACCCCCTGGTGATACATAGTTCATGATATGACAGTGACCCACAAAATATTAATTTTTTTGGAATAATAAAAAACTCAGGGTTTCAGCTAAACATAAAAATTGTGAACAAGAAACACATAGAACCAAGTAACTCAACATTTTCTGTATGATCATAGATGAAAGCCAAGCTGTGGGAGATGCAGAGAAAGAAGAAGGGACTAAGGAAGAAGATCAAGAAGAAAAGCAGGAAAAAGAAAAGGAAGAGGAAAAAGGAGTAAGTAATGAAGAGGAAACATTGGAAAATGGAGATAAAGGAGGGAATGGAGGAATACTAGCTGGAGTAGTAGAAAAAGAATATGAGGAAATGAAAGGAGAGAGAGAAATTAAAGAAAAATAACAAGGAACAAAGAAAAGAAGGAGGGACAGGAGGACAACAGCCAAAAGAAAGAAGGCAAAAAAGGACCCTTCAACATAAGAGAAATTTGGTAAGATTATGAGTATGCAGTGTGCAAAAGTGTGATACAGATAAATGCTGCAGCAATTAACACAAATTTAAACTCTTTATGTAATGCGTGGAACAGTGAAAAGCTTTCAATCAAAAGCCTGTCAAGGAAAAACAAGAATATCAAAAATGGATTATGTACATAGGCTACTAACAGTTGGCTTTTGTTCCTGAAATCAAACATGCTGACAGGAGATTTACAATTATAATTAGCAGAACAATGTTATGATTTGTAAATACATTGATTTTGTTTTTGAAGGATTGTGACGGCACCTGGAATTGAGAACGACGAAAATGGCAGACTTCATATTAGTTAATTTATTATTCACCTCCGCAACTTGTATTAATTTCATGAACAGGTCATAAAATGTTCTATTCAGTTAAAAAAAAAAAGTGAACTAGCATTTTTATAATGTCTAATTGTACAGCCCAAAATGTCTTCCTTGTGTTTTTTTGTCATGACTGCCAATTAAAGATATGGCTTTTGCAGTCTATAAAGAGGGCTAGGTCAGGTCGTTTAAAAACCAGGGTTAGATCAACAAGCATTGATTATTTTGTTGAAAGTGAACTGTTGCAGTTGTTTAATGGCTTTTTGGTGGATCTATTAACACATTAATAACTGGATTGAACATTTAAAGACCTGTTAATAATGGAAACCTGCTCTCAACTATCAAGCCAATTCCTGAAAATTACTCATTTTTCACAAAATTGGCAAATCTGTCTTCATCTAGCTAACATTTAATCAATCTGGATTCAAAAATACATTTCTCTCACTGGTATCAATAATATCGCAGCGTGATTGTGTTATGTAATATCTGAATAGAATGAATGAAACAAACACAGCTTGAACTGTATGTTTATTTTATATTTAAAAATTTAGCTTCTTTTAACAATTACAGTAGCCCGCCACACTTTCTTAATTTCGTGAAATGTTGTCAATCAACCGTGGTCTCTGATAATGCATATGTTCAGTATAGTTAATATTATTCTTCTCAATATTTGATTGCAAGGGATGAACATACATTACTTTTCAGACTTTTTTGTCATATTCTCCAAAAGATTTTCATATTTCATTAGAGTTCTGTTCCTTTTCCTAGTTACAAACGACCAATTAAAATAGAAACACGAAAGTGTATTGAGCTTATATAATAAAAATAGGTTATCACTATTATTATTACTATCTATTCTTATCAGGTTATGAGTACGACTTGCATTCTGTATTGTATATATGTACCGACCCGATTTGAATTAATTACTTCAGACATCAGGTATCAAAAAAACTCTGAGATAAAAAAATAATAAAAGTTCGCAGGTAAAAATGTTTCTAGGGCGTATGTCAGTTCATTTATATCGCAATATCATTCAATAAATTTTACTTATTCTTCTCTTCGCAAACCATCGTTTATTTGCTGTAATCAGTGTAGCGTTTTGAAGTATCCTGCTTTGCATCATATCACAAAAATCTGACAAATTAAACAAAAGGAAAACGTCTCAGCTAGCATTAAATGTACCAATTATAAATATATATATATATATATATATATATAAATTCGGGTTCATCGGTGCACTAGCTATTTACAACTTACCAAGGACAGTATCCCCATTTTCTGTCGAGCTCAAACACTTTAGTCACCGAACACCATTTCTTGTCTGCATTTTGATTTGTACATCTCCAATAAACCGCACCATCGTAAATAAAAGGAAAATTACAGCAGGCTCCTTTGGCGTTTCCTCCGAATGTAATGGCACCATTTTTGCAATCTGGAGATAGAATTTAGCAGTTCAAAATCAAAGGTATCTACAGTGAAGAAAGAATCTTAATTTGCTTATTATGTTGACGCAGCTTAGTTTTCGCGCACAATTGCTTTGAGAACGTCCGATCACAGTGCGAAAAAGATCTGCCCATTTTTGCTATACAGCTGAAAACCACACAAATTTATCTCCTAAGGGAGTTTTACGCCTGACATTGCACAATGTTCATTTGCATTCAAATCATTTCGCAGAGAGTGATGAATAGAACCTTTACACTAATTAATTCTTAATTTATTCCAAAAAAGGGCTGTTCATCTAACCTAAGCTAAAACTTTGATTATTTTCGGCTTCCCTAACCAAAGACCTCTACTCGTAATTACCGCTGACGAAGTCTCTCACGGCCATGAGAAAACCAGAAGCCGGAAGTACGAATACAGTAATTTCTTCGCGTTCGTGGACATAGTTGATACCTTCACCTAGCTGAGTAATCATAGTTACTTCGCGAAGATTTGGGGGGGGGGGGGGTTCTTTCAAAACACAACATGTTGTTTACCCTGGGCGGTGTTTCTCCACTTTTGCTGATTGATGTTTCCATTTTTCTGTCTTTTACAGCATTCGGTAGGACAGGCGTTTGTGCAAATCTTGTTACATACTTTTGGACAAAGTAACGTCGAACGGATCACAATCGGCGACGCTGAAGGTGTTTGTAAGCTCATAGAGGGGGATATACCCTCCCCTTGAATCCTTTGATAGAAACCAACACCCTTGTTGTTCACAGCAGAGTGTAGTAAAGAACTAGTTCCCTTTTGCGCTGCCTTGCAGCATTGCTGTGGGCAGTTGCCATGACATGTAGGGTAGCAGTTAGTAGGGCATGGTAGTTTAAGAGTGTAAGATAACGTGTTACGGCTTACGCCTTGCTGTGGGTTGTTACAACAGTCTGTTGGACAGTAACTAACACATGTGTTGAAGCAGATCGGAGGGCAGTTCGTAGGTCTTTGAGGAGGACTTGCCATGTAAGGCGAAGGCGGAAGGAAATTACAACAACGAACGGGGCAGTCTGGTGCGCATGTCTCGGTGCAGATGGCTGGACAAGACTGCGAGGTCTGCTGAACCAGAGGGACCTGCTCGACCTGCTGATAAGGAAAAGTGAACACGCTGATAAAGTGTTTCAGCTCAATGTGTGTTACTGCATATTTCTCCTAGGAATACGGTCGACCGTGAAGTTTGAGCAAATGATTCTGACTTTGAATTCAGGGAACTCCTGGAACTGGCGCAGATAATTTTGTTATGTTTTCCATGCGTGGAATGGTAAATACTAATCCTTAGTGCACCGTCTCCTTTAATAAACGAATTACCTGAGGGGGTGGGGGTGTTACTGGAGCTGGTTGTTCCTGCGTACTTATCATGCCCTTTACACAGCAGTAGTCGGGACACGTGTCCACGCATTTACCATCACAACCAGCAGAACATGGTGCGTAGGCAATTTTGGGCTGGGAAACTGAGCCGGGCGCGTCACCTGTCGATATTACAAATGATTCACATTAGAAGTGCAACACGAACATTTTAAATGACACTTTGTAGCGAATTGTCATTTTTGTTGTGCTTAGTTTCCATATTGAACAAATAAATAGTTCTACTTACGTAACATGTGACAATTTCGTACTCACCAGTTCTTAGATTTAGATTAAATTACATAATTTCAAATGACATTTACCGTTCCAATACTATATTTGACACGCCTGCTATCCTTCCAATAGTTGCTCTAACGGGTATTGTTATCAAATTGACTATTGTAATAGTACTTGTAATTTGATTGTTAACATAGTTTTAATGTAGCGTGTAAAACAATACAACAAAGTGATGATGGCACGATTCATGCCAAAACGAGCATAATCGGGAGTTTCAAATTCATTTGGATTCAATTATTTTATTGCAAACACAGCTATCACCCAAAAAAATACTGAAGTAAGCTTCCGGCGAGCAAACAAAAACAAACGAAAAAAAAAATCATCGCTAACCTCCACAATAGCCCCACTGTTTATCCACATCATAGTTGTACGTGGTGGCACACCACGGCTTAGTTGAATCCTGGGTGGTACAGGTCGTGTACATTTTACCATCATACACGAAAGGAAAATGACAGCAGTTGCCATTTGAACTACCTCCGTAACAGAGAAAACATGCCGCACAAAATCCCCATTCTTTATCCTTGTCATAATTATTGGTTGTTGAGCACCAGCGGTAACCTCGCTCTGCCCTTGTACAGCGGTGCTGCGGGTTTCCTCGGTAGATGAATGGGAAAACGCAACAGGCGCCTTTTGAAGTTCCTCCATGGGTGGACATACAACCTGTTTGTTTGGTCGCGAATTACAAATAACTTCAATGCTAAATTATATGGAATATTTGATCCTTTCATTTTGTCGTGGTTGAAGAAATTGGATTTCAGCTGGGCTGAGATCTACCTTGGTATAAAGTTAAGCGTCCTGCCTACCTTGTATTATCACTGATGCTGAAACCTCTACGAAAGATGAAAATAGCGTTTTAGAAATTATCTTTCCTTGTACCAGTTTTAAAAGACCTTTGGTTCTCAGAGTCTTTCATATAGATATATCGGTATGTGTTCTGATAAAACGTCTGATATACTTAACGACTATTCACCGGAGTGGAGGTGGCACCGAAGGGAGTGATTGTTTTAACATCAACCACAAGAACTAAAAAAATTTATTTAGTTTTTGGTCAGTATACCGAAAATGGTCGAAAACCGACTGCCATCTTGTCTCTTTGCCTGTTCACGTTCGAGTTGAATAGCAGTTGCTTATCACTTCAGCTTTTGCCAAATAGGGAGGCCGAAAAGCAGACTTCACTTGTCTGGTATATAATGAATGAAAATGTTACTGCTTCGCTGTTAGCAAAAAGATTACTCACCGGGAATAGGAGAAAAGGAAGGTGCGGGGGGTAACGTTGGTAAGGTGACTGATGGGAATGGTTTGAAGCATAGTGGTGACCCAGCGGAACATGGAGAAATGACAAATGTGCTATTGATTGGCTTGCATTGAGGAGAACCAGCAGGTGGAGGACTAGCGTTTGGTGCGCAGGGAGGTATTGTTTTAGGTGGAGTCTTAGTAGTAGGTGTTGTTACTATGGAGCATGGACGACTTGTGGTCGTCGATACACCCGGGTTGCAAGGTGTAGTTTTAGTAGTTGGAGGGGTTGGCGGAGAAGGAGTGGAGGGTGGCGGTGGTGCTTCTGTTGGCTTCGTTGATGGAGGTATTAGTATTGGTGGAGGAGGAGGTGGGTGAGTCGGCTTGGGAGGTGGCGGGAAATGCGGGGGGTGGAAATGAACGTGGATATGAGGTATGCGTGGAGGAGGTGGGGGTGGTGGAGTTGGTGGGGGCAGCTTAGTTGTGGCAGGTCGCGGGGTTTGAGTTGTAGGTTTGACTGTGGTTGTTCGTGTTGTTGGTTTAGTCGTCGAAGGACCTGTAATAATGAAAAAAAGGAAACAGGAACTATTTTAGTTTGAAAAGCAAGGAAAACTTGTTCGATGAAATGCAATATTTAAGTCTCCTACGACAACCAAAAATCATCTTCCAGTTTCCCATGACTTTTGTAACTTTGTTCATTTGCTATTTTTGTGGCAAAATGATTCTTTAAGTAATCGATAAAGTGGGATAGGATGGAAAAACTCATTAACATGTAAAGCGCCTTGTATACCTCAATACATATCCTTAACAAAATAAATACAATAATATTTTTATTTTTAATGTAAATATATGAAAATCTCACCTGTGAACCGCGGCTTAAGAAACGAATTTCAAAACAATCTTCGTAGTAATGAACACTACTCAAGCAGTAGTGAAAGTAAAGCCTAAAATGTTTTTCGGACCTCATATTCACCACTGCTTAAGTAGTGTTCATTACTGCGAAGATCGCCTTCCATTTCGTTGTGTTTGTATTATCTACGTACTATGTTTTGGCCTTGATGTGACTTTCACTTCTATGTAGTGCCAGCAGTGCAGTCCAGGAATCGCATAAATTATTTTCTTCCCATCAAGAAGAATTTCGCGTTTCCCTTCTGGATCTTTGGCCCAGAAAGACACAATCTGTCTGGCTGCGATTTTGGGTTTGTCCAGGAACAACTGCTGAGTATCGGTCAATTCATCCATAACCTGAAGAAAAATCACAGATATTAATTATGCCCTCGGAATAAGATAATGAAGGCAATCTGATCCTGAAGGCGCCGGATCAGATTAGTAAAGATTTTTAGTTACATCATCAACGAAGTATCATAGCGTATGACCACTGGAACCATAGGCTAGGGGTTGCATCACTGGGTCACAGCGCTTAATAACGTCAGTGACCAACAAAACAGATTATTGACCAAATAATATGAATAAACCTATCTATTAATATTAAATTCGCGCACGTCCTTCGAAAGTCACTTGTTCTATGAGAGTGGCCCATTTACACTTTCAACGCCCAATAGCGCTTTCCATTAGGCTAAATATATTTGTTCAGCACAACCAAGTAAGGTTTAATGATGTAGAATGAATAAAGGGGGTATGTTTGTAAAGAAACTGTGGTGCTGCGTCGGTGGTAGAGTATAGCAGGTAATTTACGTTTTACAACTAAGTTGAAAACGTAAGTTGGCTACCGTAAAGAGTAAAAAAGCTGACGTTTCGAGCATTAGCCATTCGTCAGAGCGATTGGAGGAACTGTTGGTTGAGTGTTTGTTTATATTCAGAAAGTGGAGCAACGCTATTGGTGGAAGTTTGATGACGAGAAAACAGGAATAAATTAGTTGAATGAAAAGCGCTCGTTGATACCGTGGGGATTGAGAGTACCGATTTGGAATATAAATTTTTGTTCTAGTGTTTTCTAATGGGTCCATTAAGATCACTGATCACTTTACGAGTACCTCCGCTAATGTCATTTACTGCATAACTTGCACTTCTTGCAATAAGTTATACATTGGCGAAACAGGAAGACGACTAGGTGACCGACTCCGAGAACACCTTCGCGACGTGGAAAGAAATGACAAGGACGCACCCAAACCCGTCGCTAGACACTTTAATCTCCCTAATCATTCAAAACAACATATGGCACTTTGCGGTCTTTCCTTACATCTAGGCAGTTCGGAAAGCCGCAAACACTAGAATAAAATTTTTTCTTCCAAATCGGCACTCTGAATCCCCACGGTATCAACGACATCATTCTTGTTTTTTTCGTCACCATATTCCCACCAATAGCGTAGCTCCATTTTCTGCATATAAACCCACACATAAACCACAATTCCTCCAATCGCTCTGATAAAAGGCTAACACTCGAAACGTCAGCTTTTTTGCTCTTTACTGCGGCCAATTTACGTTATCAACTCAGTTGTCAACACGAAATTACCCTTTCATAATATGGGCCCACCTCAGATAAAACTTCTCCATCTTGGTTTGGAACGTTAGTTCTTTTCATATGAAGAGCCTTCAAATCGATTACTTTTTGATCGCGAATAACGTAGTGAAGGTGTAACTTGGGTCCAGTGACTAAATACCCTTCTGGTTTGAGACTGGAGTAAAGGATGAAAGGCACCCCAGCTGTATTCCAAAACGTGAAGTTCACGCAGGGTTCTGGAGGGTAGACGGGAAATTTATATCTTATTTATCAAATTCTTGCATGAGGCTTATATTCATGAGAAATGCATCAACCGGTATCAATATATCCGTTAAGGTTAGATTTTGCATTGAAATGACCAATCAAATCATTCCGTCAACGTTTCAAGTGTTTAACTGATTTTTTTTTCACGTAAAGTAGTTGGGATCATTATATAAATTTTTTCTGAACCTCGAACAATATACAACAATTTCTCCAGGTTTGAAAAAATGGTAATAGATTTGGACTCCTACACGGTTGGAATTTGTTCATGAGTCGGTGGTACACTGCCTAACTCTTAATCAGCTCAAGTTATCCCGTTAGAGTGCGACTTTAAAAAAAATCATGCAATGACCTCACTCTTCTAAGCAGACTTATAGTATTAATGTGTGTTTCCCTTATTTGAATGATACGCATGAAATGTGTCAACGGGAGAGACTAGTAAAGGTAAACTTCTGATTATGCATGACGAGCTGGAGACATAGCCAAACTTTAATTGTCCCTAATATAATAATTTGCCAATTTTTTTATGGTTTTTGGTGGTTGCTCTGGTGACAGGCAATTTTTGAATAAGACCCAAATTTTAGCAATTATCTTTGTTCTACAATTAAAGACAATGATTATCATTACCGTAGTCCTTGTGTGGTGTGGTTGGAACAGTTGTAGGACGGGTGGTTCTAATTGTTGTTTTGTTTGTAAGTGGTGGTTTTGTGTCGGTAGGAGCAACACTAGGTGGTTTAGATGGTTCAATCGTATCGTAGCAGTTCATCAGAGGATTCTCGTTGGCTGCAAGAGGCCTTAGAGCGAACGAGCAACGCTTTAGCCATTCGGATGATGCCATGTTGTAGTCTGTAACCACCTCCGTTCGATGATAGTTTCGATTTATGCTTCTGCAAATGTACCATCCCTTTCGCATGAGGCTAAACTGGAATGCACCAGGAAGTGAAAATACTTGAAAGAAGGCTGCACTTGCATCATAATCTGGTGTTTAAAAAGAATAATTGAAAACTTATACTTTTCCCCTATTTAAACCGAGGCAAGGTGGACAGCGTGTTAAATAATTAAACTCAAGGTGCTTCTCCCCACCCTGAAGTGACAGAGTCCCAAAGCATCGGCGCATCTCTAGGACTTTTGCGGATTCACTCTTGAAACCATAGCAACACTAAGCGATTACAGCGCAATTTTTGAAAAATTGACAAGCGGCGAAGTTTTCCTTCCTGGTTAAGACACAGGCAAGAAGTTCAAGCTTAAAACTTAAGCTACAGACTCCTTGAACAGGGGTTTGAATGTCGTTTGCACACCATAGTGTCGTCTTTGTATACTTGCTGAAATGTGGCTGCAAACTGTTGTATTTCGACCGTGAAAATCATTTTGTGTCGGTTTACAATAGCATCGATACGCGTACTGGGCGATACTCAGTCTGTTGAAATTTGCTGCATAGCAGTCTTAATCGATAAAGGTTTATTAGTTAGTATTTCAAAATATTTAAAATCCCCGCCATATTAACTAATATATACGGTTGCTATGGACTTATAGACATATTCGTGACATGCGCAGACTTTTGTTAGCTTTTTTCCTAGCCGTATAAATGGATGTGTCAGGGAAACTCGATAAATAGCGCGAGGGCTACTTGCAGTGGACCAGCATCCTGACCACGAGGATTAGAAACATTCATAATTGCTTTTTCCTGACGCTGACGATATTGCGTTATTGGCTCGTGGAAAATGACCTACGCCCTATCTAAATATCTCTTGTTACCTTCAAATTATGATGAATCATTGACATATGCAAAAATTGCAAACGCAGGTATTTCAGTGTGTTATGATTGAAACTTTGTTAGAATCATTGATATTACTATATTTGCCCTATACCAAATTTTGTATCTCCTTGGTGCCCCAAAACGAATCTGTAGTTCTTCTGTCGAATGTAGTGACCAGGTAAACACATGGACTCAAAGGAGATGGTTTGATGTTCTCCGGTCCCTTTGTCGAATCCTGGAATCTTGATGGCAAATGCCTACAGATTTTTTTAAAAAAATAGAAGCCCAGGTTCACAATTTTAAGTAAGTAGTCACTGAAAACACGTTTCTCAAGTAAAATAGTCTGTAATAAGAGTGGCAATGAAAATAATAATAGTTATAATAATAATAATAATAATAATAATAATAATAACAATGATAATAATAATGATGATAAAGTTGCTTTCAGAGGGGCCTTTTAGATTTATCAAATAAATGTTTAATAATGAATAAGAGGGTCCCAATGGGGTAAAACGGCCAAAATATTTAGCCGTTAGACGTAAAAATTGACAAATTTTAACCGTTAGTCGTAAAAAAAGTTAACCGTAAAAAATATCTCTGGTGGAAACAATGGAAAGGTGTTAACCGTTAGCCGGAAATTGGCCAAAATTTTAACCGATAGCCGTAGAAGCCATCACCTCATTAAGACCGTCGAATAAATAATGAATAAGTAACAATTTAAGAAAATTAAAGAGGAAATAAAGATTAGGAATTAGAAAAACAAGCTTAAACACTCTTTTTTATAAACGTCACGTTAATCCTTGTCAATGTGAATATAATGGTGCGAAACCCGTCGGTGTCGATAATTACTGTATATAAGTAAATTTCATGTAACCCTACCTGACAGTTTTGAGTCAGCTCTAACTTTCCATTAGTGATTCGCCAGCAAAGATTGTAGATAGGATTCTGACTCGCGGGAACATCCAAAGAATGAATTACGTATAGCGCTCCGTTGACGACTATAAAAGCGGGAGAAGCACAATCCAAATGTTAAGAGGGCTTTACTATTTTGTTAAACCGTGACTACATTATTTGTGATATTAGAAATCGGAAAGATATTTGAGGTATTCAAAATTTAATTATCTTTAAGGGAAGGAATCGGGCTAGCACTAATCCATGTGCACTGCAAACGAAGCGTGCACAGAATCATACTTTGATGAATGGCATTGGGTGAATTTTTATACTTACGAACTCTGGAAAGCCCTCGTGATTCCAGATACACCATTTTTCTTGCAATGATATGAGAATTTTCGCCAGGAGTGGGAATGTAATATGGTTTTTCTCGATTGTATACATAAGCGCCATGAAAAACTCCCGAGTGACCTGCTGCAACAGCGTTTGTTGCCCCTTGCGTTCCCGCTGTTATGGTAGCACTGATTGATCCTCCGACCCCGCCTTCACCTGGTTGACTCGTCTGACCTGTTAGACCTGTTTGGTTTATTTGACTAGTTTGACTTCCCGCCACAGCACTTGCAGTTCCAATTCCAATTGACCCAGTGGTGCCTGTTGTCTGTCCAGATGAAGACACTGATCCTGGCGTCAACGGTATCACGCTACCGTTTGCTGCATAAATATTAAATGTCTGAAAAAGTTGAAGTGATAAAGAAGTTCGTAAGAGGGAAGCGTAATGAAAGAAGCTACCAAAACGATATGTGGTAGAGTGTTGCATATTCGCATTTGTAATGCACAAAGGTTTTTTATTTGGAATGAAGATCTTATGAACTTTCATCGTAAGCGCGAGTCAAAGACAAACAATCAGAATCCTCGTTGATGATTTAAGTATGTAACCTCAAGAAAATAAAAGTCTGTTGGATGCTCACCCACAGAGTCATAGACATCTCGTGGAACTTCGAACATTAACTTCGCTCAAATACGTTTAGGCTTCTTTATCTTAATTTTCAAAATGCAAAAACTGTTCCGGGCACCGTTGAATACCCACTGGTTTTTGAAATGTACCCAGTTTGGAAAGGGCCTCCTTCAGTGTTTTCGTGGCTACTTCAGTTGCTGCTTCTCGTGCTGCCTCTGCTCCTGCTTGGGCTCCAGCCCTTGTGCCCGCTTCAGCACCGGCTAATGCACCCGCCTTTGCACCACTCTTCAGGGCTTCATTCACTCCAAGGGTGGCACCTGCTCTAGCTCCCGCTTTAGCTGCTATCTTCACAAGATAGAAGGAGGAGGCACTGTCGTTGACTGAAAGAGCAGTTGTCAAATGTGATTAACAAATTAAGAAACGGTAGCTCTAAAAGGAGAACTTTTTTTTATTTTTTGAAATTGATCCCTCAACACACCATGCGACTGTGCTCAATTTAGTAATGAGTGTTCAAAATTTGCCCTTTAATCCAATTATAACAAATTTTGAACCCCAATAGTTTTTTTGGATTTCTTCGCTTCGGGCACTGGTGTTTTTAATTTAATCATTGCGAGCCTCTTAGATGGACGAGTTTATCCTTCTTTGAATTTCTATTCATGTCTGCCTATCCTTTTGTCTTTCAGAATGATTAATTATTTATGTTTGTCTTAATTCATCCTCTTGTCTATCTGCCTGTCTCTTTCAAAAGGGCTCTATCTACCGTTGATCATACCGTGCGGCTTGGGAGGCGGCAGCGTCCACAAATAATCTGAAGGAATTGGCGCAAGAAAATCAAAATCAGGTGTCATTACGGCTACTGCCAGGGAGTCGTTCCCGTATTGTTCTTTATGAAGGGCTTCGATGTAGTAATAGGAGCCATTTTTCATGTTTATTGGATATGATTGTTGTTCAGGATATCTGCAGAAATGATAAGGAAATAATATATTGGTAACAAGCACCATGTTGCAGTTTTCTGGATAATCCAACTTTCATATCCTTTGTCCCTTGAGATTCTGGCTTAACGGATGAGAGCTTTGTCGTCTTCCTCCAGCCCATTTTTCCTCTCTAAATGGCTCTTTCCATAATACGTTGAGATGAACTGCAGGTATTTTGTAGTGCCAATGCAATTCGTAGTTATGAATTAAAATAAAGCTCTTACTTTCTGAATTGCATGGGAAGAGATTCGTGGTCTTTACCAACTCGAGCTATCAATATCTTTCCATCCGGGTTATCAGTTACACTGAGGAACAGTTGGCCTCCATTATCACTCGCTGAAATTGATGCAAATTGTTAGAGTAAGGAAACTTTAATCTTCAGAGACAATCTGGATATGTAGTTAAACTCTTAAACTCCGGGTTATCAGTTACACTGAGGAACAGTTGCCCTCCATTATCACTCTCTGAAATTGATGCAAACTGTTAGAGTAAGGAAACTTTAATCTTAAGAGACAATCTGGATATGTAGTTAAACTCTTAGGTCCAAAGGTTAACAAAAATCTTTGGCTTCTGTTAAATTTTTATTTTACTAGTCACCATTATGCCCTAATCCAGATCTAGGCTGGATGGTGGTGTTCATGACAGAACACTTTGCTTTCGAAATGCCAGTGTCTCTTCCGAAAAATACAATTGTAACCAACCACCTTCAGGCAGGGAAAGCAAAAAAAAGTATGGCAAGGTAACCTGTAAGTGGACTGACAACCTATCCGAGGGACCGCTTAGTAGAACGTCTAGTCGCTTCATGTTATTAGCAATGATAGACTCCGGTATAATTTTTTGTTTAGGGATAATGTTTCGCATGTTATGCCTTTTGTTTTCCAGATTTCGGTTAGAAAGCTACGCTGATGGGTGAGTAAAGTCATTTGATAGATCTGCCTCACTCATGATTTACGCATCTTAAACGTTTAGCCTTAATTTCAAGTTTAGTTAGAAGGTTTTTATTCCATAATTTTAATGCGCCATAGAAATGTTATGAAAAAGCTCCTTATAATTTTTTTGTAAAGAGAGGTCCTTTAGGTGGTGTATTTTTCCCACACCCACAATTTCCTTGGCATATGCTGATTGTGACATTTTCGATAAATGTGCAACATGTCTCCTTTTAAACGGCTAAGAATATATGAAAGTCATATATTTCAACTGCGGATTAAGACGTGAATGAAAGTGATCCTCGCAGGAATGTGCACCACTTGAGCAGTAGTGAAAATAAGGCCTGAAAAAAATTCAGGCCTGTACGGGATTTGAACCCATGACCTCAGCGAATACCGGTGCAGTGCTTTACCAACTGAGCTAACAAGCCAACTGGGAGCTGGTCATTAAGTTGGTTCCACATTACTGCGAGGATCACTTTCATTCATGTCTCCTTTTCTCACCTATGTAGAACACGTGTTGTCCGCTCTTCTTTGGGACAAAGTAACCTCTGATCCGAGACCCATAATTGTCCCCCCAATTGACCGGCTCGCTGAATTTCGGTGTATAAGATACATATGTTGGTAGCATGGGAAAACGTGGATCCTCTAAAAGTTTTTCGATCAAATATCCATCTATTCCATCCCATCTTTCCAGTACGACTCCTTTTTTCCTATGAATCTCTAGAGAGAAGAAGGAGGAACACTTTATCTTAACACAATTAGCCTGAATGATCTTTCGTATTGTTGTGTTGGGAGATCTCATGTCAATTACCTTCCAGTTTTTTACTAACTGCACCCAACAAAATCTTTGGGAATTGTAAGCTTATACTCATTACGTTGACCATATACAGTTTACATGGTGTAGTGCTAACTCAAAATTTAGGTTTTGATTTTCTAGCAAATTGAACAGATCTTTTCTGTTATACAGACCATGGAAAGCAGTTGTTCTTTTGGGAATCTCTTCTCTTGCGGTGGAGTAAACGTTACCATCATGTTTTCCTGTTAACACAGAAAAGACCCATGAACTAGTAAAGCTTCCCGATTATAAACTTTAATGTTAATTCAGCTTTTGGCCTGATTTATCAGTTTTTCAATGTTCTGGCAGTTATCAAAGCAAAATAAAAATTTCTGCCTACTGAATAGTTATAATAATATTAGAATATGTTAAACAAATCCTACTTTGTTTTAGTCGCTTTTTTTAAAAATCAGAAAAATAGGATTGTAGGTAACTGAAAAATAAATTAGGGTTGGATAAAAGATATTTGAGTTACCCATATGCTTCCACATTCTATTCTCCTTTGGAGGATAAACGACGGTCCAGTATTTTACCAATTATTCTGTTTGAAGAAAATTCTGATTTGTTTCGTTGAAATTGGAAGAGTGATCTGTGCTTCGTTAACGAATAAAGGACTAAATGATCGATACAGGTATCAAAAACTTTAATGATAACCGTTTTACGTGAGAGAGAAAGCATTTCTATGTCTAAGAATGCTTACCTTTCTGTAGTGCAAGGACGTTTCTAGACAAAACACACTTGAGCAAATATGCTTGTTTCATACATATATCAAGTACGTGTACTTGTTGGTACAGCTGGTTGTTTCTATCAAACAACTCAGTCTCACTGCAGGTCTAATGATAGAATGGTTGCTATAACTTTCACGATTACTCTTCTCTACATCATTAACACAAATGCTTTGACCAACTGATGAAGTGTTCAGACACAATTTTGTTAAGATGATGCTTTTTCATTAACGGCTTTTAAACAAACGGCTGGTTGTTGTTATGGTTCGTAAACACAGCTTGGGGCAATCCGAGAATCTTACATTTTAGAAGAACAGGGATGAGAATGAGAAATAGCCCAGGAAATGGCAGTAAAATAAATCCGTTGGCCCGACTGAAGTAGAACCGTTAGACATGCGTCCGTTGTTACAGGTCAAAAACGTTACCCATTTTCAAGCTTTATTAAATTGATGACAAAAATCAAAGTGCGGCTTACCCATGTGTTTCTTTGACGTGAAACAGGACGCCGGAGATTCGTACATGAAAATAATTATCCATATCAACAGATGTACACTTCTCATACTGCATCTTTATGAAGTCAAAATTAGCTTTGTGATGGCGGCTGTAAGAGCAACATATTTTAGTTAGGTGTTAAACAGTTTGGGTTTTTTCCTGCTTATTTCTGCTAAGCTATGACATGTAGGTGTTACTAACCACCTGTTTAGACTGATCGGGTGGTGCTACTCAACCCTCTCTGTTGTTATGATGTAATCCTTAGTCAACAGTTGTAAGTGAAGCAGTTTTATGAGTAACTAAGGGTTCATAGAAACTTAATGACGGTTGAGTTTGAAAGTCATTTCAAGAAAAATTCAACTCACAGTTCTTGATAATAATGTCATTTAAAACATCGAAACGTCGAATCACTTTAACTTTCGAGCAAATGTCAAGAGATTTTACTCCTTTTACACGAACGTTATGAACGAAGGCACTTTTCACAGTGAACCACCAGGTTATAGACGCAGAACTCTTCTCACTTAATTTTGTTGTTACTTATTTCTGACCTCATAGCAAAGTGGCATAGCTAATCGATCCTCCCTAGGTGGTTGAACTTCGATGGTGTTTTAAGAGCAAATTGGTCGAAACTCTTGAGCGAAGAGGATACGAGCAATTTGAATTTCCCTTCAAATGTGGGCCCAAATCAATTATTTTAAGTGTAAAATTTACTGTAAAGAAGAAAATCTTCAGAATTTATTGGGAATTGACGGAATTGAATTTAAGGTCAAGTATTTCAGAGAGATATTAGTCCTCTTTATTTTCACAAACGATCAGTCCGTCATGCAATTTCTTAACACTACAAAGGATGGATCTAAATGAAAGAGTCTTGACTGAAAAATAAACTCCTCAGCCAGGTCGATCATGGTATATCGTTAAATTCTGAGCTTAAGAAGTGGACTTACTTTAGACCAGTTAGTTAAATTATAAAATTTTGACCCTGAATTTTGTTTTTTCTGCTTCACTGATTACTGTCTGTTAATGGTGGACGTAAACTCGTGTAGCCATCTCAACCGATCCGGAAAAATTAAAACCAGTTGAGAGCCTTGATTTCGTCTCAATGAACCACGCTTTGGTGCCTCTAAAATAGCAAAAGAATCTCCAGTACTGAGTCTAACGTGAAACCTTCCAAAGAAAACAATTCTTTCTAGCCGAATTCGAGGTTCTTTCTTTAAGTTTCAGAACGAGGGTTTACTTTCGATACACGGGCGCCAAACGCATGCACGGTCCTAAATGGAGAGGGACAAAACGGATAAACGCAACTCTCTCACCAGTCAGACAATACGTGTCTGACTGGTTTGGGAATCGATTTCTTGTCTCGCTGAACGGCTTCAAGAGACCTGAATGTGCGTGGAAAGCTGAATACAGATATTAGAAATCACGGCATGGTCGAAATAAAATTCGCTAGCATGTTTTTGACATGCAATTTAAAGAAAGAGAGTGTTAAGTATCTTTTTCCCATCAAAGTTAAGATTGACCAGAGTTAGATAACGAGAGATTGTAGAAACAATGCCAGACTTAGATTTTAAGGGGCCGTATAAAAGAGTACCGCACAGTACATCGTCCTATAACAGTGCGTGTAGTGGCTAAAATGTAATAAACAGTCTACAGATGATGCTCTGTTCCGGAGGAATCAAGTCGAAGTAAACTTTTGTCTCTAAGAAGCCTGTCTTTCGCCCTGTCAAAATGGGCCTCCGGCCAAGTCTAATAGACAATAATTGCTAGGAATACGTACAGCCCTTCGAGGTACAAAATTCTTCGACGAATGTCTATGCTTTTAACACCCATAACTGTGATGAAGATAAGTTACATTCCGGTATATAAACGTTTTTAATTTATTTTAAATCATTGATTTGGATATACAGAGGAGACTAACAGAGGAGAAGTAATCACATCCTGAGCTCACCAGGTATGTAATTACCACCATGAAAGCAGTTTGTCGTTCTTTATTATCTACAAGTGTTCTTTATATATCCCACACGGAGAAAAAATTGTGAATATTTTGAAACACTTACAACACTGTGCACCCTACTAGGGTTTTCCCTATTGCTTAAATAATTGCATATTGCCATTTCGCTCAGAATCAGGCCCCAGAATGGTGGTCATGCCAACCAAGCAATGTCTCATATGTCTTGTCGACATATACAAGAATGGCACATGATTATCAAATCCAGGTATAGTGATTACAAGTAAATTAGTAGAGGTTAAGAGAAGACGACGCACATCTTTAATTCAGTATTTCATGGTGTTCCTTTCTTCTATCCGTAACCAAAATCGTTTTGAAGGGCAAAAAATCGAAACAGTTCAGTTTTGTCCTTTTTTACGCCACTGTGATATCGTCATCTCCTTCTTCACCCGATGTTTCCACGGGTAAGTTTCGTTTGCAGCACTGTGATGGACAAATGGGATGACATTCTCCAGAGGTGAGACATGTGTTAGGACAGACTATAAAGAGATGAAAAAGAGGCAAAGAAGTGTTTAAATCAGTAACATACCCACATCTTCCTGTTATACTGAATTCTAATTCCAAGATTTTAAATTACATGCCTAGGCTTTCGCATCGTCGAAAGTATCCCTTGCTGCTTAGTAGTATGAAATTGCACTTAAAATATCCTCACAATGTTGTTACATTCCTACCTGTGGGATTGGCTACCCTGTGACCATGATAATGGTAGTGATAGTGAACTTCTTTTGACTCTTCCCCTTTATGAAAAAGAAAGAAAACGACGCTTCAGTAGGAAAAAATTCTATTCATCGCACTGTTTCAACTTTCTAGTTGATCTAAATTGATGTCACTTACTTACTGCAGAAGGCATAAAATTAATATCGTCCCCGAAATCAAGTAAACAGGCAAGTGAAGGTTTTTCGGGTCAACATGCAGTATTACCTTCCTTGGGTGTAGTTACTTGCTGTGCTGAAGATTTTGAAACTGCTGGGCCCACTGGTGATGGAACGGCAGAAGGGTGGTGATGATAATGGTATGTACCTTCTGACGTGGGAGGTACGAGAGAAGGCGATGTAGGGGCTGCTGGAGCTGTACCAGAGTGAACTATAAATTGAGTTAAAACAAAGTAACGGGAAAGATAAACGCAAATTGTAACTTAAGGATATACCAAGATTAAATAAACAAATAAGACTGTAAATGTTGCGTGATGAAACCATTTAAAACACATTCATGATAATTAATCTTTTTTTCTGATCTCTTGGAATAAGTTTGTAAAACTTACTCTAAACTGTAAAGCAAATCCATTCATTTTATTCGCATATCGGAATATAGGTTGTTCTAGTAAACGAAATTTGAAAGTCTTTTACCAACTGCACTAAAGTCACCATTCGAAGCAAAAAGGGAATTGTTAGTAGACAAATAATGGCTTCACCGCAATATAAAAGAGTTCGTTGAAAGAGAGGTAAATTGTGGTGGAATACAAAAGACATTTTGCATTCGATGTACATTGTGAAACACTCAACAGCAACGTGAACTATCTTGGTCGTTTAGTGTAAAAGCTAGATACTAGTATCTGGAATTTTTTAGGATTTTTCAGTCAAACGGGGTTTTTATAAAATTTGAAGATTTTTTGAACATTTAAGAATTTTTAGACAATAATTTCAAGAAAAAATACAGCCTGTTAGTGTCCTTGTGGTTTGTTTGAGAGAGAAATATGAAAGGAGACGAACCACTTAGATGGTCTAGTAAAAAAAAAATGATCATTTTGAATCAGATGGAAGGTGTTTCCATGCAACTTCACCACAAGAATCTCCCATTTTATGCAAAGTATGTGATTATTTCGAAAAAAAAAACTGAGATGATAAATCGGGATTTTAGAAAAAAAGGGTAGAGATTTTTAGAGATAAAATGAGATTTTCAGACACTTTTTGGAGAATTTCCAGATAGATGTTTAAGTCATTTCTCGGGCCTTTTTTTTAATCTAGGCCAACAGGTGTGCTCAGTAATCCCTTGTCTCTTCGTTTGTACCTTGCTCAGCTGTAACTAATACATTCACGAACACAGGACATCCCATCACAGCTGGCTCTGAAATACTTGGTTTCTCGTTCAGGAGGATGTTAGTCTTTCCATACGGATCCACAGCATTGAACGTCACGAAGCTGTGGAGTTCAGGTCTCTCTATTATGAGTTTAAGTCTAATTCCTGAACCAGTGACTAGGTATCCCTCATGTTTGAGTGAGGAGAAAAGCTTGAACGGTGATCCCATATTGTTAACAAAGTTCACCGCCACACAGGCCTCTGTTGCCAACATGAGAAAGGTTTTCATTAGCGATGCAGCATAAAAAGTATATGAAATTGATGAACACTTCAATAATGACTGCTTTTACAGTTTTGAATACCGCTGTTCGCTCGATCAGTATTACTTCTATCACAATGAAAAACATGAATGCTAGTTAAGCGAAACGGCCTTTAATTCGTCTCGTATCTACGCAAATCGAGATTCAAAATGTGTATCACTCTGATTCAAAAATCTCAAATTCTAAAAAACAATTCAATGAATTAAAAATATTTTCTGCCCCATTAACGTATCAGACTTTGACATTACAAAACGACAATAAAGTTTTCGGCAAAGTGAAGGGGTGGTATAAAAAAATTGTTCGAAAAAATTACAGACTAGCACTTACTCTTAACTGTATTAACAGCAGGTCTCGAGGGAAGGCCCATACTCCCAGTTGGTGCAGGAGTTTTATTCGATAGCTTTAAATTTGTTGGTTGTCCTGGTATTGTACCTATAGTGCCTGGTGGACATATCGGTATACAAGAAGGAAGTGCAGAGGATGAGGCAGGTTTGTTTGAAATCAGGTGAGGGGGGTGCGGTAGAGGTTGTCCACTTATGTGGGGATGTTCCACTGGCCCTAAAACGTTCTGGCACATTTTGTATTTATTTTCATTTTGAGCTATAGGATGGAATAAAAACGTGCACCGGCTAAGTACATCAGGGTCACCATTGTAAAAGTCCAGCATTAGCTCAGAGGTTGAATGTATCGATTTTCTTTCCCCTTTCTCGCAAACATACCAATCTTTATGCATGGACTGCAACATGATATTGCGCGTAAACTTCATCACAGAATA